GGGGGGGGGGGGGATGGGCGCTGCTGGAATTGACTGATACATTACCAAGTGTTTCCCACTGCTGACGGTTCCACGCCGAAATAATCCCGATCCAGACTAAATACTAGCACCATATTTTCTTCAAGTAAATCGTCCGTGTATTAAAGTATTAGTATCAGTTGGAGATTTTGATTTATAGAAGCGATATAAAGGTGGCAGGATTTGAAACCTGAATCAATATACATTTCTGTAACATTGACTGTTATCCTGTCCAGCGAGCAGATATTGACCCTAATCGATTTTAAATCCTCCAAGACGTGCCACGCAACAATGTATTCTGGTGTGAGTACGGAAAAGGCAACAATCTAGCAGCATTTTGTTAGTTAGTCACTCTCTACCCAAACCAGGGTTGGTCGTTTGAATAATGAAGTAACGTCCTTTCTAAAGTCCTCGATCTAGATCAAATTGCTATTTTATTTCCTACGTCACGATCCGGTTAAATGCACTACGGCAACACAAAACAGAAAAGCACTGATAAAACACTCATAACAAAACCTTTCGACCTCGAAAATAACATGGACGTAATTGCAAACAGTGATTATAACAAGAAACAAATTATAAAAGACAAGAAAACATTTTCATTTCCGAAGTTTTTTTTATTTTGATCGGCAAGATAAACTGAGCAAATACAGTAGGAACCCATCAATCAATATGTAGCGATTAACAATATGTGGGCTGAAATTTTTACAATTAAAACTCCATTATATAAGAACCTTATGAGCCTGAAAATTGAAACAGGTCCCTTATCTTTTAGTTTCTTAGTTTTACTGCAGCACATTGAGCGTAAAGAGCCTGAACAGGATGTGTACTTTATTTCCTTAGAATGTAACTCTTACTTCGAAAATTCTTAGTAGCAACCAGATATATAAGAACCTGTTTAGGCTAGCTTGAAAACACTGGTTCTTGTGGGTGAGTTTTTACTGTATTTTACTCTCTTGCTTAACTAAAACTGAGCCAGCCATATTTAGTGTATGACAAACAAATTTAACGAATGAAAGTTGATGGAAAATAACGAGAGTGTTTACATAGCTTAAATGCAAACATTCGCGAAAGTGTGGGAAATTCAAGTTTGTACACTTTCGAATTCTCCAAAGCTTCTCGAGTGTTTACATCAGCCAATGTAAACAAAAACCTACTTACAAAATAAAGCCATCAAAATGCCACAACTGAAACGGATATACAACCAATCAGAACGCTTGATAAACGACCAAAAATCAATAACCAAACCCAAGCCAAGAGGCAAAAAAAAAAGAAAACCAAGGTTAATTAAACAGTATGGAAACGCAGTGCATTTCTTCTTTAGGGTCTTACAAAGAATGATTCTAGCTGACACAACGTTACAAAATATAACATTAGACAAAAACTTGTACAATAGTTCAGTACACACTGCCACATCATGCTGTAACAGGAGAACTGTCCACACCTTCGTAAAATACACGAGATACAGTGTTCCTATAACCTGACACATTTGTCAGTCCTTATTCATCAACTACAGGACCATTTTATTGAATGTTAATATATAAATCGAACTGGACATGTTTGCAGTTCGTGCCCTTCTTTAGAACTGGCACATAATCTTCTTCAAACGTATTGTTTTAACCATTTCCGTGACTTGTATCCAAAGCACTTGGTTTTAAATTTCTTTACACAAAACCATTTCCGCTGACCCTCTTCCTTCCCATCACTGGATGTTGACAACGTGACGTCGTAAATGGTGCTGAAGTGGACCACTTACCCGGTTGCCACGGGAAAATTCGTTTTGGATGTATCTCACTGTATTACACACCCTGTAGGGAAATAAGCAAAAATTAATATATCTTATAACACTCAGTGTCCGGCCCATTAACCCATGGGGATTCTGGTCAAAAGTGATAGTGTGTAGCTTTAGGAGTCTTGTAGCATTCTGGCAAGCCCGTAGGACAAGCCAAAATACAAATAACAAGTAAAAATGTACAACAATACCACACACTAAAACGTCAAATAAGATATTTATAATTCAACGATGAACTGTGTTTCTCGCTCTCACGCTGTCAAAAGGAATGAGAGGTTTCCATATAAAACCTGTTTAACCGGTCTGCTAGGGTACAACTATCGTAGTGTATTTGAACTTGTTTCAGGCGTGCGCAGGTAACGATTTTGTGGTCGCGTACATTTAAAGCGTATTTTTTGATTTCTTTCAAACTTTAAATCGAAAGCAATGTAAAATAACACTGTTTGATTTATTACTGTTTTAAAGAAAACAAAGGATTAGCTGGTTTTCTAGGAATGAATCACGTACTCTTTGATGGAATTGCCGACAGAAGAATCTATAAAGAAAATAGAGAAAGCCGAGATTGAAAACTGGTAGTGATCACTTCAGAGAAGACGTCTGGCTAAGATCAAAAGTTAGAGAAGACAGAGAAACATAGGCTAAAGAACAGGTATAATATGGAGAAGACGAGTTCTTTACAGCTTGATGATCAAAGCATAAAGAAATACATATCATACGTCAGATCCTCGTCGTATACTACCCGTGTCCTATTTATATAAAGTAGAAAATACAGTTTACGTTACAGGTGTAACTCGGCGAGAAGGCTGAAGAAAAAGAATCGAACACCTCTATGGCGGAGATTATTGAGAAATAGATTACTAGGTTAATCTACTCAGAGTAATCCACAAAATGTTGTATAATGAGATGTGAAATGATACATGTGAACCAAGTTTGTAATTCTCACTGGTGATACTAATACAGGCTCGATTTCCGCTGCCTTCTCGAATCTGGTCTGGGCTCCTTTCCCGATCGAACTGCGACTGGTAATGGAGCCTAACACCAATAAGAGCTGGTTTCCATTTGATTGTTACGATCGTTGCGATAGTCTTAGGAAAAGGTTGAGCGATCCTTACGACTACCAGTTTCTATATGATCTCCGCGATATAAACTAAAGAATACAAAAATGCCCGAGAGGACCGGGCTCCAGCAACGACGCGCTGCATTGTGGTATATTTTTCATCGCAAAAGACCGTTACGAAAGCAATGATCGCTTCGTTCGTTGAGTTAGATCTGAGGCCGCGCTGTTAGAAAGAATTGCGGTCGCTTCGCCCCAAAGGCAGCCTGCTCGCCTGATGTCAGTTCGCCCGCACCGTTAGCTCCGTTGTAATGGATTGAAGAACGAGAAATAAACAGGTCTTATTTTTTTGCGTTTCATTATGCTCACAATCTTATCTTTTTTTCTCGGTGTGCTTCTTTTAAGAAAAGAAAAAAAAAATTAGGCAGGTCTTTCTTTGAACTCAGTTTCAGTTTGGGCCGGACGAACTGGCTATCAGGCGAAACGACTGCTTACCGTTTGAAAGCCGGTTAACGCTAACTCCGGATTAAAAGTTAACCAAAGTATTATATATAAAGTTTTAATGTATAAAAATCAGTGCTTTTCACTACTTACGTTTTGTGCAGTTTGAGATTATCCGAACTCAAAACAGAAGGACAAACAATATAAACAGAAAAACTCGCCGAAAAGTTAAAAGAAAAAAACTAAAATCAAGCTTATCCTGAGTTAGCTTAATAACCGGGCTTTGAGCAACCTAGCTCTGAGGTCTATCTTAACGATCGTTACCGCCCGGGGGGGGGGGGG